CAGGTGTCGGCGGCTGGAGCGGCGCCAGCTCGGCCCCGGGGGCCCCGGCGCGCGGCGCCGCGGGGACGGGAGCCCCGGGCCGGGCCCTCCGCGGAGCCCTGATGACTTCCGCGCGGCTCCCCCGGGCCCGGGAGGGGGAGGCCAGGCCGGGCGGGGGCGGCGGGCGGGGCGGGGGCACCCACCGACAGGTCCCCGCCGCGGATGCGGTTGCCGTGGCAACGCGGCCCGGGTGGGGGCCCTCCGCCGGCGGAGGTGCCTGGGTCCGGGTGACGGTTGCCACGGCAACCCCGCGAGCAGCCCGGCTGCTCCGCTCGGCGCCCCCCGTCTGGGGGTGTGTGGAGGGCGTGGGGGGACTCAGGGAGGCGCCGCCCCTCTTTAAAATTAGGCGCTGGCGGGCGGCGGCCGGCCGGGGCGGGCGGCGGGGCTGTGCTCGAAGGGGCTCCCCCGTCCGCAGTTCCTGCCGCCCAGCGTCCCGCCCGGGCTGCTGTCCGAGGGAGGGGCTTCCCCGGCTCTTCCTCTCGCACTTCCCACTCGGCTTCCGGGGGCCCAGGAGGAGGATTGGGGAAGTCGTCTGCGCCTCGGCAGCGTCTCCCGGCGCCGGAGACCGCCCAGCCCGCCCCGGCCCGGCGACCCCCGCCCCCCCCCCCCCCCCCGGCTCCCCCTGCCCCGCTGACCCCCTCCGGCCGCGCGCTCCCACCCCGCCTCTCGCTGCCGCCTCCCGGGCGGCCTTGGGGCCTGACGTCAGCCTTGCGTCCCCCTCCCAGGCCTCGGGCCAGCGGCCAGGAGCTGCCTCCCCCAGCCCCCGTCCCGCGGCCCCCAGCCGCCCCCAACCCCGCCCCACGGGCCCGGCGCCATGAGTGAGCTGGAGCAACTGAGACAGGAGGCCGAGCAGCTCCGGAACCAGATCCGGGTGAGGGCCTGGCGGCTGTGATGGGAGGCCGAGCCGGCCAGGCGGGGCTCGAGTGTGCAGCTTCCCTTTGACCTGAGCGCAGTGGGTTGCCTGTGGCTGCTGCGTGCGTGCGTGTGTGTGTGTGTGTGTGTGTGTGTGTGTGTGTGTGCCGTGTGTGTCACAGGGTGGGGAGAAGGGGCGTCCTGGGCTCCAAATGTCCTGTTTACTCTTTCCTGACCTCCCACCCCCTTCTCTCCTCTCTTGTGCTGCCCATCCTTACAGGACGCCAGAAAAGCATGTGGGGATTCCACGTTGACCCAGGTGAGGGGACTGCAGGCTGCCCTGGGGGCCTGGGGGGAGGGTGTGGATGTCTCTCTGTCGTTGGGTCCTCTTGAGCCACCTTGGTCTCTCCGTTTTCCAGATTACAGCTGGGCTGGACCCAGTGGGGAGAATTCAGATGAGAACACGCAGGACCCTCCGTGGGCACCTGGCAAAAATCTATGCCATGCACTGGGGGACAGACTCAAGGTGTGTGGGCGGCCCCGGCCTTCGTGTCCCTGGGTTCTGGGGGTCGTAGGTAACGGCAGAACGGTGCCAGGGCACGGGGGACCCTCAGGTGTGGTGGGGAGAAAACCTTTGTCAGTAAGTTTGGGAAGACTGATTTCCCAGTATCCCTAGGGGCCCCGGGATGCAGGTCATCCTGAGATCGGGGGATTCCTCTAAAGAGCTTCTGTAGATGGAAGGGGTGAGGGCTGTGTCTTCCGTGCCCTGACTGTCTGCCTTCTCCCTGCCACTGCCCGCCAGGCTGCTGGTCAGCGCCTCCCAGGATGGGAAGCTCATCATCTGGGACAGCTACACCACCAACAAGGCAAAGTTGGCGCCCACGGTGGGTGGGCCGGGGCCCGGGGTCTGGCCGGCTCTGACCAGGCTGCTGCCCTCCTCTAGGTCCACGCCATCCCTCTGCGCTCCTCCTGGGTCATGACCTGTGCCTACGCCCCCTCAGGGAACTTTGTGGCCTGTGGGGGTTTGGACAACATCTGCTCCATCTATAGCCTCAAGACCCGAGAGGGCAACGTCAGGGTCAGCAGGGAGTTGCCCGGTCACACTGGTGAGTGCCGCCGGGAGGAGAGGGGAGGGCCCGGCCCGGGGAGGGCCGCACGGCCTGGCCGCACTGACCGCGACCTCCTTTCTCAAGGGTACCTTTCATGCTGCCGCTTCCTGGATGACAACCAGATCATCACCAGCTCTGGGGACACCACCTGGTGAGGCTCTGCCTGGCAGGGTCCCGCCTTTGGGTGATCTGGGGCCCAGCCGGTGGCGTGCTTCTAAGCATCTAGCCTTCTCTCTGGGTGGGGTCAGGCGGCCCCACTGCAGAGGGCCCCGGCCTTCCGTGCATTCCTGATCCTCCCTCCTGTGCCCCCCAGTGCCCTGTGGGACATTGAGACGGGCCAGCAGACGGTGGGCTTCGCTGGACACAGTGGGGATGTGATGTCCCTGTCCCTGGCCCCCGACGGCCGCACCTTCGTGTCCGGTGCCTGCGACGCCTCCATCAAGCTGTGGGACGTGCGGGACTCCATGTGCCGACAGACGTTCATAGGGCACGAATCTGACATCAATGCTGTGGCTGTAAGGCGGGGGCGGGGCGCGGGGGCGGGGGCCGCCCCGGGGGGTGGGGGGGACACGCTGGCCTCTCCTCTCACGGTCTCGGGCCCAACCTTGCAGTTCTTCCCCAATGGCTACGCCTTCACCACGGGCTCGGACGACGCCACGTGTCGCTTGTTCGACCTGCGGGCCGACCAGGAGCTGCTCATGTACTCCCACGACAACATCATCTGTGGCATCACCTCGGTTGCCTTCTCGCGCAGCGGCCGGCTGCTGCTTGCCGGCTATGACGACTTCAACTGCAACATCTGGGACGCCATGAAGGGCGACCGCGCAGGTGGGCGGGGGCAGTGCAGGGACCGCGGGGGGGGTGGGCGGCGCGGGCCGGCGGAGGCGGGCGGCGACCGGCTCCTACTCCCTCCCCGGCAGGTGTCCTCGCCGGCCATGACAACCGTGTGAGCTGCCTTGGGGTCACGGATGACGGCATGGCTGTGGCCACAGGCTCCTGGGACTCCTTCCTCAAGATCTGGAACTAACCCCCACCCAGATGGGCCCAGGCAGGGAGCAGCCCTGCCCATGCCCACACTACAGGCCCGGAGCTTCGGGGCTGGGTACACACGCCAAGCCTCCCTCCCTGGGCTACAGGGCCTTGGGCCCTGCTCCCATACCCAGGTTTGGTTCCTCCCGGGGGGCCCCCACAGTGGAGATAAGTTGGGGATGGAATGGGGGAAGAAGAGGAAGGGCAGGCGAGCCCTCACCCTTTGCTGCCCTGGGGCCAGGGCCTCACCCCTCTGGAGGGCCAGAGGCAGGAGGTGGAAACTCCAGGGGCTGGCTTTTTTAAACTGGTTTTATTTTAATTTTTATTATATTTTCAGTTTTTCCATAAAGGAACCACTTCCAACTCTGTACCTTGTCTCCTTGTCTGCTGTCCCCAACCCCCAGAATGACGTGGACACAGGGCTGTGGCCAGCAGTCCCTGAGGCACTCGACCCCGCCCAACTGTGCCTGGGGCCACAGTGTGGGACCTCGAGCGGCAGACAGGGTGGACTGGGAGAACACACCAAGTTTTTTTATTGGGAGTATTTACAAGAGCAGGGACTCGGGAGGTCACACAGGGTACAGGTAGGGTGCACTGGGACAGGCAGGACAGCCTTGCTACCTGGACCCCAAGGAGGGGCGGGGCGGCTCCGGCCTGTAGGACTGGGACGGGAAAGGACCAAGGTGGGGGGCTGTCTGAGTCCCGGGCTAGGGGCTCAGGGCTTGTAAACATTGACCACTCTCAAAGGGGATGGGGTGGGAGAGGGCTCCCCCTACTCTTCCTCACAGGGTTAAGGCCTCTCCAGGCTCACAGGCCCCCAAGTTCAAAGTCTCTTTAGCTGGGGGAAGGGGTAGGAAGAGACACGTGCCCCCTCCCCTGCATTGGCTGTGGCAGGGGCAGGGTAGGTTACATTCAGTCACAACAGGAGTCCTCCGCCCCTCCAAAGCCTCGAGGGCCGGAGGGCGGGCAGCTGGGGGCCAGCAGCAGCAAGACGGTTCCCGGCCCATCACCCCTTATTGCTTTAGAGAGAATATTGTCTTTTCACAGACACTAACACTGTCAGCCAGGGAGAAGCAGGTGGAGGGCCTTCCACCAGAGCCAGCCTTGTCCCGAACACTGACCCAGCTGCCACTTTGGTGCAAAAAAAAAAAAAAAAAGAAAGAAAAAAGTTAAAATGAAAACAAAAGGTCATCTCTCTGGGGACAGATGGAAAAGAAGAACCGGGGGCCACTCCCCACTTCCCCAGGGCAGAAAGGAGAAATACATTCATGGAGGCAGAGGCAGTCTCGTCCTAATACTGCGTTCTGAGCAATGAGATTGCTGGAGGGATTCTCTATAGTTCAAAGAGGGAAAAAAAAAGCCGATCAACATGGAGACAGATCCAGGCGTGGATGAGGAGTGAGGTGGTGAGCAACGGGCACGGCAGACCCAGCCCAGACAGGCGCTCTCTACCTCCAGCCTTACAACAACGCGAAACTGGAGGGGTGGCTCCTCCGTTTGGTCAAGGAGGGGTGGGCACAGAGCTGGTCTGCTTCAGGCAGCTGCTGCTCCTGGGGCTCCCATGCGGCCCCAGGCTCGGCCTCGGCCACCTTCGGGGTCTTCCCTCCCTCACACAAGCCATGGCGGGAGCAGCGGTCTCTGGCAACTGCAGGAAGGGCCCTCCTCGGGGGAGCCCGGCACGGGGCCGAGAATACATTCATGTGGCGAAAGGCAGGGCGCCGGGCTTCCCGCGGCACGCCCAGGCTGCCCCCGAAATGGCAGCAGTGGGGACAGCCCCCGGCAGGCCGGGCTCAGAGCCCGCCTCGGACAGGCTGGCACGGACAGTCCTGCCCGGCTCCCCCAGCCAGGGTGGGAGGGCTGCTGGGGGTCGGGGAGAGGAAGCGGAGGCAGCGCTGTCCAATTTGTGCAATATTCCTCCCGAAGCAGCTGACAAGGGGCGACGCCTGCCAGGCCGCTGCCCGGGAGCCGGTCACAGCAGGTCCGGGGCGGGCTTCTGGAGAGGGCTGTGCCAACTGCCAGCACCCAGCTTCCAGGCACCCCACCTTCCGGGGGCAGCGGGGTGAGCACAGCCTTGTGAGCCAGGCGGGACAGTTCCATGGGGCCTGGCACCCACTGGCCCAAAATAACAGTGTGGTTTTTTTTCCTTTCAGCCTAACTGGGTTTTTTTGTTTTTGTTTTTTCATTATTTTTCTTAAAAAACAAAAAACAACAACAACAAAAAAAACAACAACCCCAAAACAAAACCCAACCTAACCTCTCTGGACCTTCCAATGTCACACCCATTGTCCCCAAGGGGTGAAGGGGCCTACAGTCTAGCTCTTGAACGACACTTCTGTCTCTCCTAATGTTTAAAACTAAAGAGGAAAAGCCCCCTCCCCTATCTGTAAAGTGCCTCGTGGTGGGTGAGTTAAGGTGCTCCGTGTGGTCGGTAACAAGTGCTGGGGACCCCGCCCCGCGCGCGGTTCCACCTCTGCTCCTCACCGGGAGCCTGCAGGCTGGAGAGCCCAGGGCCGCCGCCGCCGCCCGAGTCTGACCCCAGGGGCTGGTGGGCCGGGCTGCTCAGTAGTCATCCACGCTCTCCAGCTCACCGGAGGGGCCGTGTAGGGAGTAGCCTGGAGCCAGGGGAGGAGACAGTGAGCCTGTGCGGCCTGGCCTGCACACGACCTGGGAAAGGCCAGCTCCGGCCCCACCGGAGATGCAGACACTCACCCAAGATGCTGGGGTCGGAGGGAAGCGCCAGCGCCCGCCTCTTGGCCTTGCTGCCCTCCCCAGGGCCCAGCTTGGTGCTGTGGCTGGCCTGGAAGGCGGTCGGCAGGGAGGTGCTGCTCAGCCAGGCCTCCTACGGCGAGAGGAGCGTCAGGGAGGCCCCAGCCAGGCCGCCTCCCCGGCCCGCGCGGCCCCACCTGCTGCTGCTGCTGCCGCTGCTGACTGGCCTTCTGCTTGGCCCTCCGCTCCAGGAACTGTTTGGCAAATTCTTTGGCTTCCAGCGTGTCCCCCAGGCAGGAGCGAATGTAATCGTGGACGTCGTAGGGGGACTCCACCTCCTTGAGGGTGGCCACGGCCATGGGCACTACGGGGAGGGCACGGTCAGTGCGCTGGACGGGCCCCGCGCCCCAGCGCCAGCTCGGCCCCGGGCTGCCCCGTACCGTCCAGGCTGCCCGCGGCGCTCAGGGCGTGCAGCATCTGCTCGCACCACTGGGTGAAGCCGTCCTGCGGCCGAGGGATGCCCTGGAGCAGCTTCAGCAGCTTCTCCTCCTCCTCCGTCTTTTTGCGAACAGGCCGGCCGGACAGGTGGCTGTAGGAGTCGCTGAGGCGGGAGGGGCACGGAGGCCAGGGGTGAGCCCCAGAGCTCAGCACCCCTGCTTCCTGCCGGAGCCCCGCTGAGCAGGCGCCTCTCCCACCCAAGGGGCCTCTCCCACCTGAGGGACGGGCTGCTCCGGCTGTTCTTCAGGCCCAGACTCCGGGCCAGGCTCCCGCCGCTCTTGAGGGTGTCCTCCCAGAGTCCCAGGCTGCCGCTGCCGCCCCCACTCTTGTCTGGCCCGCCCCACAGTGGCCCAGCTTCAGACACCCACTGGCTCAGAGGGGCGGTGCCCAGGCCCCCAAGCTGTAAGGGGCGGAAGTCAGGGAGCTCTGAACAGGCCCGAAGGCAGGAGGCTCACGGGGGAAGGGGGGGGAGATGGGGTGTGTGTGTGACGAGGGCTCCGCTCACCACGCGGTGGTTGGGGGCCTGGGCCCGCAGCGGCTCCCGAGGTGCGGGCTGTTTGTGCAGCGGCCGCTCGCCCTCCATCTGCAGCTCCAGCAGGGTCTTCATGGAGAGGCCCTGCTTGGCCAGGCCGGCCCAGAGTGGGGGCGGGGAGCTGGGCGCCGGGGGCACAGGGACGGTCGCCGCCTGCTGTTGCTGTAGCAGCTTCAGCAGCAGCTCCTGCTGCCGCACCTGCGTGGGGACACGCCGTGAGCGTGGCCAGGGGGCAGGTGCTCCGGCCGGGGGCGCAGGCGGGACTCGAACCTGCTTGCGCCGGAACAGCTCCTCCTCCTCCTGCCTCCGCTTCTGCTCCTCCTGCTGCTGCTGCCGCCGCTTCTCCTCCCGGCGCTTGCGCTCCTCCTCCTCCCGCTTCGCCCTGAGCTCCACCTCTCTGCGCTCCTGGAACTGAGGAGGTGAGCACCGTGAGCTCGCTGTGAGCGCTGTGAGCGCAGGCTGCCCGGCCCCCGCCCTGGGCGTGCACTCACTTTGTGTTGCAGCTGGAGTTGTTCTAGAATTGGACCCTGAGTCGAAGAGTTAATTGGTATGTCCCAAAGACTGGCCTCACCACCTGCGGGAGGAGAAGGCAGCTGCCACTGGGCTGCGAGCACCCAAGTGGGGAGGACCAAGGAGGGTGAGCAGCGCACACCGGGAAGGAGCAGGCGCTGAGGCGCACGGGAGGAGCAGGCCGTTCACCTGACTGTGGTGAAGCTGAGGTATGTAAGTCCCAGAGGGGGCCGGAATCTGGCACCGACAAGGACCGGCTCATCGTCGGGAGCAGGTTCTGGTCCCCACCTCTGAGAAATAAGAGCACTCACTTGTAGCCTGCCCCTGCTCTCTCTCACACACACACACACACACACACAGACACACACACGCGCGCGCGCCCCCACACAGACCTGGGGGTTTTGAGAGCCTGGAGCTGCTGCAGGAACGCCGTGAGCTGCGGCGGCGTCAGGTCCCCCATAGCTGCCTTTTCCCGGAGCGCGGCACACTGCGGGAGCTGGCGGCTGCAGACACACTGGGCTCAGGAGGTGTGCGCCGGGACGCGGCCCTGCCACAGCCAGCCCCGGGGCGCCCCTACCTGCCAACCAGCTGCAGAAACTGCTGGTGCTGCAGCTGCTGGTACAGGGCCGCGGCGGCCAGCTCCTGCTGCTTCTTCAGCCGCTCCTGATCCATGTTCCCCTGTGGGAGGCCAGCGCCCGTCTGAGCGTGCCCGGCAAGCCAGGGGCCGGAGCCTCGGGTCCCCCCCCCTCCCCCCCGCGGCAGCCAGCTCACCAGCAGAGGGGGCGGCGACGGCCCCGGGGCAAAGGGCACGCGGCCCCACATCTTGATCACCTCCCCCAGGGGCTGGAAGCCCTCGTCGCAGCCCCTCTTCACCAGCAGCGACATGGAGAAGTAGCCGGCCTGGAACCACTCCGCCATCTCCTGGGTGGTGAAAGGGCCTGCACAGGGCGTGGCGGTCAGGGCGGCCGCTCACAGCAGCTCTGGGCGCGCTGAGCTCAGCCTGCCCCAGCCTTACCTTGGATCTCCCCCTGCGGGTCCTTGTAAAACCACTTCCGGGCGGCGCCGTGGCTGAGGGGCAGGGCGGTGGCGGCTGTGGGGTGGCGCAGGCCCTGCGTGTGCATGGCGGTGAACTGCTCCTCCTCCAGCGAGCTGTCCTGCAGGGAGGCCACCAGCTTCTCTGCCTCCTGGAGGCCAGGAAGAGAAGCAGGTCTGAGCGGCCCGGGGGCGGGGCTCTGGAGGGCAGGCCAGGGCCCGAGTCGCACATCTGGCCGCCCTGCAACCCTGGAGCATGCACAGGCCCCCAAACCTGCTGCAAGTGCTTCAGGCCTTCCTCGTCTTCCAGGTCTCCAGGTGGGCCTGGGGGCGAGCCGACGGCAGGACTCAGGGGCAGCTCCCTCCCCTCATCTGGGAGCAGACACAGGCGAGTGTGGCAGGGCAGAGAGGGGCAGGGCGTCTCCTGGCCCTTCCACACCAACGCCCCGGCACTCCCTCTGCCCGGCTCTGCCAAGCTACCTTCAGCCGGGGGAAGGTCCTTCTCCGATGCGTCACCGCCATCCTCATTCGTCCAGAGAGGGCCCAAGGCAGGCAGTGAGGCCGGGGAGCCTGCCGTCTCTGGAGGCGGCAACAGGGTCCCCTCCGCCCCCCCTGGAAGAAACAGACGGCTACCAGACCTCAAGGCGGAAGGCTTGAGGTACACACGAAGCACCCCCAGAACCACACGTGGCACATGAGTCTGTAACCCCAGTGTCCCATGGAGACATGGTGGCAGGGACAGGGAGTGTCCTGGTTGGTAAGCGGCTGGAGGAGGACAGAGCCCATCTTCAGCACGGGGGCCCATACCTACGCTGTCTCCGCCCGCACACACGGCGGCACATGCACGCCAGCCACGTGCATTTACACGCACACACACTAGAACCCTGCAGGGAGGCCAGCCTCGTGCGCAGGCAGCGCTGAGCGCTAGGCTGCACCAGCCAGCGGCTCCCGGAGCTGCTCAGTGAGATGCACTAGGCCCCGAACCTGCGGAGGGCTGTGGGCACCCGAAGGCCCCACAGAGCTACCAAAGGACTCGAAAGGCCATCCTGTTCACCAAAGGTCCCGCTCCACACCTGATGCGCACACACACACACACACACACACACACACACACACACACACACAACACGCACACGTATGAGAGACTCAGGCTGCAGGTCAGAGGACAACTGGAGGAACACATTCTTCGTCCTTCCATCTCATGGGTTCCAGCACTGAGCTTGGGCCCTGACGCCTGGTGGCGGCACCTGCCCCTGTCCAGCCGTCTCAGCAGCCCCTGTCCAGCCGTCTCAGCAGCCCGGAGCTAACGCCTTAAGCCTGACCTCCCCAAGGCGCCCGGCACCAGACCTCCCTGCCAGCTGCTCCAACCAGCACTTTCGGGCCTCCTCGCCAAGGCCCCAGGCGCTCACCTGCCTCAGGCCCCTCTCCGTCCACCCCCTCCACAGGCTCCTCTTCCTCTTCCTCCAGGCCCTGGAAGTCCAGCTCCTGCTCCTCGGGAATGGGCTCCTTGGGGCCCTTCTGTGGGAAAAGCAGAGTGGACACGGTAGCAGCGCAGCTGGGGACAGCTCCCGAGGACCGCAGCTGGGCCCCGAAGGCGGGTACCTTAAGAGGCAGGAAGGCCCCAGAGGCGTCAAACGTGCCCATCTCCTCATCTTCATCATCCAGGCACCATTCTGGGAGTCCATCTTTGTCCTCCTCAAAGCCTTCGAGCCCACGGCACCTCCGCAGGTGAGAGCCGCCTCCCCCAACCCGCCCATCCTCGTCGGCACTCCCTCCTCGTTCGCCTCGCAAGTCAAAGTCAAACTTGCGCCTCCGCTCCCCATGCTCTCGCCAGCCAGCAGAGCGGGGGCCGCCCTCTGGAAGACAAAGCCGGACGGCCCTGTACCCGGACAAGCCAGACCTGCCCGCTCCGGCTCCCCAGGCCTCCCCGGCAGCGGCTTCCCTGCGAGGCTCACTGCTCACGAGAGGCCGCTCCTCCCTGTAGCTCGGTCCCCACAGGGACAGGCCCGAGCCCTGCCCCATCTTACCAGGGCTGGTGGAGCGCCAGCGGTCCCCATCCCGCCGAGGCCCTGCCCCAAGCCTCCAGCTGCCGTCCTCCTCCTGCTCCTCTCGGAGCGAGCGCCAGTTCTCACTGTCCGAGCGCGCGTGCTCCTTCCTCGGGCCGGCCCCTCCCTCCTCAAAGCCGGAGCGCGCTGGCGGGGAGAGGCGGTAAGCGGGAGGAGCCGACCCTCCACCCCGGAGCCCACCTCGGTGGCCTCCCCACCCTGCGGTCCGCGCACTCAGCACCCTCATACCTCCATCCCTCCTCGCAGACTTCTCGAACCGCCGCTCACCTCTGTGGAAGAAAGGTGTCCTCTGCTCAGAGACGGGACATCGGGATGAGGACGATGCCCCACAGCCGGGATGCACAGGGCAGGCAGGACCCGGAGGCCTTGATCGGGCTGGCCTGGGGGCTCTGGCTCTCCGCAGCACCCTCCCTGCTCTGGCCGCCCCCTCCATCTTCCCACCGACCTGTCATCCCAGCTCTGACTCCGCTGGATCTCCCGGGGACTGCGGCCAAAGGCCCCATCACCCTCCTCAATGCTTCTTTGGTAAAAGCAGCTGTCGCCACGGCCCCGGCCTGAAGGAAGAGGGGTCACACGTGGGTCTGGGACCTGCCAGTGCCCCTCTAACCCTTGGTGCCACCCATTCCAAGCCTGCCCACCTCCTCCCTTAGAAACCACGGGAGTCGTCCTCTACCTCGGCTCCGCGTGGTGCCCCTGCCACGGGGGGCGGCGGCCAGAGGGGGCCCAGCCCCCTTCCCCATCAGCCTCAGCACAGCCACGCTGTTCACTGATAGGGAGAAGTTTCTCTGAGGAGGAAGCCAGGGGTGGCCGTGAGGACCCTCACCCAGGCAGCCCCTCCTGGGCCCAGCCCCCTCCTGCACCCCAGGCCCCACCTGCTCCTCCTCCGTCAGAGGCTCGAGAGCCAGCGGCTGCAGCGGCTCCTCTTGTAACACCGCCGCAAACTCCTTGTCCTGCAGCTCCTCCGGGACCTGTGCAACATTCCAAGAACCATTCCGAGGTGGTTCCCCATAAGGCGGACGGGCAAGGGAACTAGCTCCACCCAAAGCTCACCTTGTTCTCCTTCACGTAGAGCGCCAGCATTTCCTCTCGTCCATAGCGGTAATCTGCCAGCTTGTACTTGGGCATGGCCGGGGACGGGGGCGGAGAGGCCACGCTGCCACCACTCGAAAGGGCCCTTAGCCTACAACAGGCACAGAGAGGAAGACGGAGGTCCCACACGGCCCTTCCCATTTGCCCCAGCCCTCCCCCTTCGGCCGGAGCCCGAGCGACCCACCACTCGGGCCCAAAGTTGAGTGTCTCGGCTGCCATCGCGGAGCTGGGCTGCTCGCAGGCTAAGGACGAGTGGAGAGAGGGCAGGCTGCACTGTCCAAACACCTGCAGACAAGGCCATCCGTGAGCCCCAGCAGGCCAGTCAGGGGTGAGCCCCAGCAGGCCAGTCAGGGGTGAGCCCCAGCAGGCCAGTCAGGGGTGAGCCCCAGCAGGCCAGTCAGGGGTGAGCCCCAGCAGGCCAGTCAGGGGTGAGCCCCAGCTGGGCCAGTGACAGGCCTCCATCTAGATGGTGAGCCATTCTGGCACTGAAGAAATCACCAACACCACACACGTGAGTGCTCACACCATGAGTTCATCAACGTTGAGGCAGGATAGGGCAGAGTCCCAGGGGAGCGGAGGAACAAGGAGGCCTGAGACCCCTCGGGCACTGCAGGGCGCCCTCTGGTGGCCCTACACTCACCTGACAGGCCCGGAGGGGAGCAAGGGCTCTCTTGAGCAGGGCTGACAGAGAATCCCAGCAGGGAGCTACGGCTCTAGTCTCAGCAGCCTGAGAGAAGCCTCACATCTGGGAAAGGGCCTGAGAGAGAAGCAGGCAGTTAGCCCCACAGCTGCTGGTACAGCGACCGCGGGAGAGGCAGAGGCGTGGCCATGTCACTGCTGCTGCTCGCAGGGGTTGCTGCGACTGAGGCAGGGCCAGGCCTCTGTACCAGTTCCTAGGGAGGCTGAGCTAGCCAGGCCAGCAGACACAGTGCTGGCGAGGAGGCCACCAGGGCCAGGTGTGGTTGTGTCTGTGCTTGGGATCCCAGGACTCAGGAGGCGGGGAGAAGGGGCTGCAAGTTCAAGGCCAGCCTGACACATGGTAGGGCCTTGTTTTAGAGACAGCAGCAGACTGGGGCTGTAGTTCACCTGCGGGGTGCAGGCCCCGGGTCTGACTCCAACACTGCACACACCCGCTGCCCACCAGACACCCGGGAGATGGAGGCTCAGAAATTTAAGGCCCTTTCTGGCTATGTACAAGTTCAGGGCCAACCTGGGCTACGTGAGAGCCTGTCTCAAACAAAACCAAAACCAAATCCTGCTTCTGTCCAGAGAGGAAATGGTCCGTTTTGCAATAAGCTGACAGCACTAGAGAAAGGGCCTAACTCAGAGCATCTGAGGGAAGGTCGTCCAGACAGGAGCTGGACAAACAGACAAAGGGGCCTGCAGAGCCAGACAGGCACGGCCAGGCGGCTCACAGCAGGTGGGCGCGGCTAAACTCCTTCCCCTCTGAGAAAAAGGTCAGGGTGTACCAGCGGCTGGGAAGGCCTCTCACCGTTCGGGATCAGTCTCCTCGCTGACCGGGCGGTGGGGGCACCACAAGGGCAGGCTTCTTTAGGGGCCTGGGTAGGAGACGCTGAGGGGGGGGCACATCCGGGAGGAGCAGGAGGACAGGCAGGCAGTGTCCAGAGGCTGAGTTCCTACAACTGGCTGGGCGGGACACTGGACCAGTGTGTGCCTGCAGTCCCCATCCGCTGCAAGACACCAGGAGGCTAGAGGAAGGAAGAACAGGTCCCACCAGAGGGGCCTCAGACAGGCCTCCCCCAATGAGACCCCGCAGCAGACCCCGGGATGTACCTGTCGGGGCTTGAACACACCTAAGCCACGACGAGGCATGTGCCTTAACTCCAAGAGCCTGGGCTGGCCCTGGCTGCGCTGACCTCCCCGTGCTGGGTCTACTCACAACCACGACCCACACCACAGCCCTGAGGGGACCTGAGACCTGGCAGACCTTGAGGACACGGTGCTAAGCGAAGAAGCCAGGCAGAGGAAGCTGAAGGCTGGGGCTGTGCCACTCTGAAAAGATGGCCCCGTGCTTGCCTGGCACGCACAAAGCTGGGGTGTGACCTCGGCACGGCATAAACCAGATGTGGTGCACACCTGTAATCCTAGCGCTCCTGAGGTGGATGCAGAAAGACCCCAAGTTCAGCGCTGCTGCTCCCGGGCCCAGGAGAAAAGAAAGGAAAACTAAAGGGGCTGGCCATGTCCCTCAGCGGTCAGGCACTTGCCAGCATGCACAGGCCCTGGCCTCAACCCCCGGGCCTGACAGAAGAGGGAGCTGAGGCTGCAGAGATGGCTCAGGCTACAGTGCTCGCTACTCACCTAAAGGCCCAGTTCAGCTCCCAGCGCAGAAGGAAGGACACCCTTCCACAGGAGCCAGGGCTGGGCGGGCTAAGGTTGAAGCCCTGGAGCAGGGGCAGCCACTGGCAAATGCTGGCTGCTCCAGGGTTTCGGCTGGCCGCAGGGAGGGGTGCCCAGCACTCTAACTCATCACAGAACCACATGCCCAAAGAATGACCACAGTGGGCCGGAGAGGCGGTTCAGTGGTTAGAGCACTGACTGCTCTTGCAGAGGACCCGAGTTCAATTTCCAGCACCCACGGCAGCTCACAGCTGTCCGTAACAGTTCCAGGGGATCTGGCTCCCTCGCACAGACACACATGCAATCAAACACCAATGTTCCTAAAAGAAGGACTGAAGTGGTGGGCTTCACTTATTTGTTTTTAGAGAATCCTTTCTTCTCGGCCTCCTGAGTGCTGGGGTTGTAGGCACGCACTTCCACGCCTGGCTGACACCAATCTTTTCTATTTCTCACTATGTGCGTGTCCGTGTGGGGGCTATGTGCCTTTGAATGTGGGTGTCCAGAGTCTAGGAGGAGGGCTGGGTCTCTGGGCGCTGGAGTCACCTGACATGGGGGTGGGGACTCCAACTCTGGGCCTGTGAGAGCAGCGTGCACAGGGCGCAGTGACGCACACCTGTGACCCCAGCACCAGGGAGGCAGAGGCAGGAGGATCTCTGTGAGTGCGAGGCCAGCCTGGTCAACAGTGAGTCAGGACAGCCAGGGCTGCAGAGAGACCCTGTGTCAAATGAAGAGAAGAACCAGAATTGTGTGCTGAGTATGTGCCCGTCGCCGCTGTGCCATCTCTCTGCCCTGCACCGTGAGGGGTGGCATAGGCTACGCTGGGCACCTCAGGCCCTGGGCGCCCACCCTCAGTATTCATTAAAAAAAAAAAACCAACAATAAATGCTTAGGAGGGCAGGCCACAGGGCGGCCACAGAAGCACCTGCCGCACCAACACTGTGTTCAAGGCCCCACGGTACACGGACGCCAGCGGTGCTGTCTGTGACCCCAGCACCCGGGAGGCGGAAAGCCCACCGGCCCTGGGCTCACTGGCCACCCACTCCGGCCAACCCGGGAACTCCAGGCTGCAGTGGACGGCTGGGGAATGCTTAGTGGTGAGGTGCCAGCATCCTCCAGGGAGCAGGGAGGTGGGGGCAGGAGGGCCAAGAGCTCGTGGGCCGGTCATAACGAGTGACACCTCCAACCAGACCCTGTCTCCAGCAAGCTGGAAGGACTAACAGACTGCCCTTTGACCCGTGTGTGCGCACACTCACACAGATTTAAAAGGCAGCAAGGCAGGCGGCGAAAGAGAGGTGCCAAATGTCAGCTGTGGTCTTCACACTCCCAAGAGGGAAAAAAGGCCAGTGTGAGGCTACATACTTCATAGCCAAGCCTTCCCCATTCCCAACACCTGTGCGTGAGCACACACTCCTTCAAACAACCTGAGGTGGCGTCAGGAAGCTTCTCAGGCAGTCCCTTCAGGCTGTGCTCTTGGCAGGGTGAAGGCTGCCCACTGGGAGGTCAGGGGGTGACCCTCCCCCACCTCTGCACCCTCCAGCCATCACAGGAGGCACAGAGAGGTGGGCTGGCAGCACCGCGCAGCCCAAGAGAACACCTGCCGCCCAGCGTGACTTCCACCCCTAGAATCCTCATGGTGGAGGGAAAACCACCCGAGTCACCCGCAGACCTCCACAGCACGCTATGGTGCACGCCTTCCCGACACACTAAGTGGGGGTCGGATGCTGGTGCTGGACAAGGCGACCACCTTCATTTAAAAAGGGGAAGAAGCAGCGACAGGGCAGGGCCACCGACCAGGCAGGAGAAGGCCCGAGGGAAAGGGGCCTGGTGCCAGCATCCGGGCAGCACGGGCTCCTTCCTCACGCGGCAGCGAGCTTTCTACCCGGCTACCACAGGCCTCTGCCCCGCATGCTCCCTTGGGGTGTGGACAGCGACCACAGAAGACCGCAGACGTTCAGGCTAAGCAGAGCGATGCTCAGGCAAAGGCCACCATGGCGACCCCACAGTCCACAGGACAGCCCAGCACAAGCAGCCCACGGCGGCCTAGGGCCTCGGCTCAGCTGGCCCAACACCTGCCTGGCACGGCCGCGGCCAGGTTCACTCCCCAGCACCCCATCAGTCAGGCAGGGAGGCCAGGCCTGCCATCTAGCACAGGCAGACAGGTGCACTGAGATGCCCACGCTGGCGGGAGAAACTCTCCTGCCCCCATGCATGCGCCCCGTGCCCCTTGGCACCAAGGAGGGTTCTCTGACTGCACGGCCTGTGAGGACAGCCAGAGTCCTGCCACAGCGAAGTCCTGGGGGAAAGAACAGAAACCACGGTACCCTGGCCGGCGAGACGGTTCAGGCCAGAAAGGCGCTGCTGAGCCTGCTGACCAGAGCTTCACCTTCAGGAGCCACATGGTGCAAGACCCAACTCCTCCAAGCTAAGCCGCCCCCTGACACACACACACTCTGAAACGAGGGAAAAAGGCCAAACTGTAGGTTTGCCCATGGCGGCCCCCAAAAGCTAAGCACCCAGGGCCCGTTTCTAAACAGACACAAGGGCAGCGGGGTGCGGCCCGTCACCCCTTTCCCGGCTGCCAGGATGAGGCCCGCAGCACACCTGGGCTCCCCATTGGAAGGCTGACCCCTGCTGGAGGCGCGGCCTCCCAGGGACAGCACTTCCTTAGTACCCCAAACTCTGTTCCAGCCTAAGGCAACATGGAGACACCCTGCACCATGGCTAGCACAGTCGAAACCCAAGAGCCCCAAACTTGAGCAATCCCAACCACCAAGTCTGCCGAGGGCAGCCTTCTCAGGACGGACGCACACACACGGGCCCCCATTGGCTGCAAGGCAGCAGTCAGCACCCGCTCTACTCTGAGCACAGTGACAAATAACCCCAGCCCTTGGCAATTGTGGACCAACTTCACAGTTTTCAAAGCATTTTCACGCGTTACCTCATTTGATCCCTTCTGCCAGGACTTGGGGGGGGCACTCCAGTTCACAGAAAATAAAGCTACAGCTGCCCTGCCAGGCACCCCGACACCCTCAACACCCAAGACTGACAGATGTGTGAGGCGGGAGCCATCCTGAACGCTCAGGCTTCCGGCCTTCCAATTCCTTCGCAGACTACTGTGTGCCCTCGGTGGACTCGAGGCTGGCCTCGGACACAAGCGTGTGTACCCCTCACGTACCCGAGGCTGGCCTCGGACACCCCAGCCTCCTGCTCCCGAATGGCTGGAGGACAAACATGGGCTTCCAAGCCAAGGTTTTGTTCTTAGGACTTGTAGGTATACACGCACGTTTCTGCACGCACAGCTGCGCGCGCACACGCAAGCATGAATGTAGAGGCCCAAGGCTGATGCCAGGGCCTTGAGGAGGGAGGCCCTCTCGCTGAGGCATGCTGGCTAGTCCTCTTGCAGGAGGGTGTCCCTGTGTCCCGGCAGGGCAGGGTGGCGGGCCGGCCTCTGTGGTCACCTGGCACTTACATGGCTCACGGGATCCAAACTCTGGTCCTCACGCCCGCTCAGGCACTTCAGCTGCCAGCCTTCGAAGCTGTCGCCCCTCCCCCGAAGCTCTACTCTGTCCACTCTAACCGTGGGCCGGGGCAGCTCTGTGCAGCCTGCTCCCTGCTCCCACCCTGCGAAGCCTTCCCGGTCACAGGCTTGCAGAGCGGGGCCTTGACCAGCTGAGCCGCCTCACGGCGGTTCGGCTCCTATCCCCGTGCCAAAAGCAGACGTAGAAAGGGCTGGGCGAACCCGGGCAATCTCTTCACCAGCCCCTCACGGCCCTGCGCATCCACCAAGGGGCAGAGCCCGAAGAACACGCCATCAGATTTGACTAGAAGCCTCATGTGGGACGGTGGAGCGCCCCAGCCCCGGCCCACGGAAGAATAAGCCAGTCTCCGCCCCAGATCCTGCCCCAACTCGGATCCTGCTCTACAGCCCAGGAAATAAAAGTTGAGCTGGGCTGGGGGGAGTCGGTGGAGGCGCAGGCGCCAGGCAGGGCAGACCCCGGGCCCGCGGGGGTGGGGGGCTCGGGCAGCTCGCAGCGGCCTCTCCCGAGGCGGGCACCTTGAGCCGGGGGAGGGAAGGGGGTGGAGGAAAGAGGCGGCCACCCAGCATTGGTGTGGCACCTCCCCGCCACACCGCAGGCGGCTCGGGAGTAGTGGCCACTGGGCGGGAGCGGGGACCCAGAAGGGTCCTCCAACCCGAATCAAAAAAAAAACCAGGACAAGAACTGCAGGGAACGCGCGCCGGGCGGCGAGCCGCAGCTGTCCCGTCTGCGAGGACACATGGCCTGGCTGCGCCCGGCCGGCGGCGGGGACGCCCCGCGGCCCCGGCTCCCGCAGACAGGTGTCTCGCGCGCCCGGGCCGGCCGAGGGGGCCGAGG